GATGATCTGTCCAATGATGTGAGTGGGGTGTTGAGGTCCCCTACTATTATTGTTTTATTTTTGATTTCTTCTTTTAGGTTTGTTAATAGTTGCTTTATGAACTTTGGTGCTCCTGTGTTGGGTGCATAGATATATATAAGCATTATTGCTTCTTGATGTAGTGGCCGTTTGATCATTATATATTGCCCCTCTTTGTCTCTCTTTACCTGCCTTATCTTGAAGTCTACTTTGTCTGATGTAAGAATTGTGACACCTGCTTTCTTTTGTTTGCTATTAGCTTGGAATATCATCTTCCACCCCTTCACTCTGAGCCTGTATTTGTCATTGGAGCTGAGATGTGTTTCCTGGAGGCAACAGATTGTTGGGTCTTGTTCTTTAATCCACCTTGCCACTCTGTATCTTTTTATTGGATAGTTCAATCCGTTTACATTGAGGGTGATTATTGATGTATGAGGGCTTAATGCTGTCATTATATCACTCGTTTTCCAGTTTTCCTGCATTTCCTTTGTTTCTCGTCCTGTGTGTTTTGGTCTACCCATTGAATAATGCATTTTTTTATGCTGTGTTTCCTAGTTTTTTCCGTATTTATTTTTTGTGTCTCTATTCTGGTTTTTAGTGGCTACTCTAAAGTTTGTATTCAGAATCTCGTGCATAACATAGTCCATTTTCTGATGGCCTCTTATTTCCTTAGTCTAAACTGATTCAATCCCTTTCCTCCTTCCCTCCTAAATTATTATTCTCATCTTATTCCAACTCGTGTTGTGAGTTTGTGGTTAAAGTGACAAGATTGTCTTTGTTTTTGGTATTTTACTTCCCTTTAGCCTAATGCTATAGTTGAACATTTGCTGTCCTATTCTGATTCTGTCTATCCATTTGTTTCCTTACTCTGTGTTTTGTGACCCCTTTCTCCCTTTTTTCTTTTTTCAGGTGTGAAGGCCTTCTTGAGGATTTCTTGGAGGGGGGTTATCTCATGGCTACAAGGTCCCTTAGTTTTTGTTTGGGAAAGATTTAATTCCTCCCTCATATCTGAAGGATATTTTTGATGGGTAGAGTATTCTTGGCTGAAGATTTTTATCTTTTAAAGTTTTGAATATGTCATTCCATTCTCTCCTAGCTTGTAACGTTTCTGCAGAGAAATCTGCTGAAAGTCTAATAGGGGTTCCTTTGCAGGTTATTTTCTTCTGCCTTGCTGCCCTGAGTATTCTTTCTTTGTCATTAATTTTTGACAATTTTACTACTATATGCCTTGCAGTAGGTCTTTTTACATTGACATATCTAGGAGACCTGAAAGCTTCCTCCACACACATCTCTCTCTCATTCCCTAAATTTGGGAAGTTCTCTGCTATTATTTCTTTGAGCACTCTTTCTGCTCCAGCCTCCTTCTCTTCACCTTCTGGGGTACCTATAATTCTTGTGTTGCATTTCCTCATTGAGTCGGATATTTCTTGGAGACTTTCTTCATTTCTTTTTTAGTCTCAGTTCTCTCTCTTCCTCTGTCTGGAGCAATTCAACATCTCTATCTTCAATTTTGCTGGTTCACTCCTCTATGGTGTCCACACGAGCATTCAGGGAATCCGTATTTTGTTTCTCTCTTCCATTGTGTCTTTCATCTTTAGTATTTCTGATTGATTCTTCTTTATAGTTTCAGTCTCTTTTATGAAGTAACTCCTGAACTCGTTAAATTGTTTCCCTATATCCTCTTTTACCTCATTGAGCTTTTTGATGATAGCTATTCTGAATGCATTGTCGTTTGGTTTACTTATTTCTGAGTCTTCAGAACAGAATTTTGGGTATTTCTTGTTTTGTCTCTGGTCTGGGCTTTTGATGAACTGCCTGATGCTGGAAGAATGGGGTTTTCGCATTGTAACATTATTGGGTTGCAATTACCGCCTATTGCCACTGGATGGGGGTCGAGAACCACGTATTCTGAGTCCTCCACTTTCAGCTGAGATGGTGTGGCGTGGTGCCCTGTCACGGGTGGGGGGTGGGGCGCTTTCTCCTGCATGCAGTGCCCGGTTTACCAATCAGCTTTTCCCATCTGGTCTTCTGGGGTCTTGGCTTGATGAGGTCGCCCCACGTGAAAGCTTTTGCCCCATTAGAGGGCTTCCCTCTAGGCTACAAGGGCCCTAGGGAGTCCTGGGTGATCCCACAGATGCGCAACCCCTCCCCCTCTCCTTCCCTCCTAGGGCCTCCCGCGGCAGCCACGGGAGAGGGAGTGAAGATTTCTCTTACCTGGTTCTAGCTCCTCCAGAGAGGGCTCTAGCCTCTCTGCCCTCCATCATTTGGCTGCTGTGACTGTCCTAGGATTCCTGTGCTATTAGGATATTTTCTGTTCGAATATAGTTGCTCCTTTTTGTTGTATGTTGGAGGGGAGAGAGTTCCGCCCAGCTCACTTGCCATGATGCTGACATCACTCCTACGGGGTTATTGCCATTTTAACAGTACAGTCATGTGTCACTTAACGACGAGGATACTTTCTGAGAAATGTGTGGTTAGGCGATTGCATCGTTGTGTGAACATCATAGAATATATGGAAGAGCAACAAAATTTGCCACCAAAAATGTGTCTCTTTAACATGAGGATTATTTTAGGTTGATTATTTTTAAGAAACAGAAGAGTCAGAAGGTTTTCCTTGTTAATTCCCCCTTAACAGCCTAAAAGAATTCAGATTAAAAAACCTGTCTTGGGAAGCAAAATGTCACTAAGCATGACATGAACTAGGTGGTAGATAGGGAAGAACCTAGAAAAGCCTGTTTGTTGGGCTCCCTTCTGTGTTCTTCTGTTTCTGTGTGGCCAAACACTTGTTTTCCAAACATTTTCTTCTTTTCACCTACCTGTGAATTGTCTTCCTTCCCTTTGAAGTCTCTGACTCTCTCCATCTTGAATGTCATCTTGTTTCTTTAGCTAAGGAGGATATTTAAGGGGAGGACTTCAGCCATTTTGGCAAGTTACTCGTTTTCCTGGGTTTCTTCCATGTATACATGTTATTAAACTTTAGTTTTTCTCCTGTTAGTCTGTCTCATGTCAGTTTAATTCTTAGACGAGCCAGAAGAACATAGAAGGGTAAACGAAAATTTCTTCATCCCCTACAGTACTTCCACAAACCTAGATGGTACAGCCTACTGCACCTCTAGACTTTTTGGTACTAATCTTATGGGGCCACTGTCATAGATGCAGTCCCTCACTGACCGAATTGTCATTGTGTCGTGCGTGACTGTATTGTCTTCATGTCCATGAATGTGAGATTTTTCTTAGGTCTTTTTAAATTTCTCTCACCCGTTTTTTCTATGGGAACCTACAATACAATTTTGTTGCTCTTCCATATATTCTATGATGTTCACACAACGATGCAATCGCCTAACCACACATTTCTCAGAAAGTATCCTCGTCGTTAAGTGACACATGACTGTACTGTTAAAATGGCATGTACCCAAGTGCTTGGTTAAATTCATTCTTAAGTATTTTAGTCTTTCTGATACTATTATAAATTGAATTGTTTCCTTAATTTTCTTTTTGGATTGTTCATTGCAGCTGATTTTTATGTTGCTTGTATCCTGCAACTTTACTGAATTCATTTATTAGCTCTAATAACTAGTTTTTTGGTGAATTCTTTAGAATTTTCTATGTATAGGATCATATCATCTGCAAATAGACATAGTTTTACTTCTTTTCCTACTTGGAGTGTTTTTTATTTCTTTTTCTTGCCTGATTACTCTGGCTAGGAGTTCCATACCATGCTGAATAAAAGTAGCAAGAACAGACATTTTTGTCTTGTTCCTGATCAAAGGGGGATGTGATATTTATTTTAAAAGTATTTTCTATGTACTCATATATTTGAGTAAATGTACAAAACTCAACTTTTTGTATTTATAAAAGAATTTTGTTTAGAGATTGAAATACTCCTAACTCTCAATAGAAGTCACTTTTGTGTAGTGGGTTTGAGTATATCTTTTCTTCCACTTTTTCTGTATTTTAAATTTTTTCCATAGTGAGGATATAGTAGTTTTAAGTTGCAAAAATAACTTTATTAAAAGAAAAAAAATACTTTTCAACAAGAAAACTGTGATCTGCCAATACGATCATAAATTGCCTTTGAAGAGGCCTATAAAAATGCACATTGAAATGGTGTATACTTTCTATTAGCCAGAATAAATTTAAGTGGAAATAAAAATTCTCTCCAAGTCATACATTGAGAGAAAAGTAGGAAATCAAGATGGTCATAGATAAATAAATTAAAAATACAGAATGTTAAAAACACCAGGAGATGTTTACATGTAATTATACTATCCTGTGCTGTTCTGTGAATGCTCATTGTGTTTCCTGAGTGGTTATATCTGACCTGCTCTTTACCCTCAAAACGTATTTTAACGGTACTTTACCCAAGCTGTTGCTTGTTTCCCATCCTGTGATATGGTTCTTGATGGTTATAATTAGCATAGTTTTATGTCCTATAATTAGACTTGAACTTTTTGAAGGCTGAGTTGTGGAGCATAGAGTTGAGAGCTGTGGTTAGAAAGCTCCAAATAAGTAGTTTTTAAATTTGGGTATCCTCAGGTCATCTGACACTAGCTAGCTGTATTATTTTAGGAAGTGATCTTGTAACTAGTCTGAAAAACAAGTAAAAACTGAGAGCATGTCTGCAAATAGGCACTGTGAATTAGAAGAATGATTTGGGAATTACGAATAAGGACCAATTTTTAGTATATCAGTTTTATGAACCGAGTAAAAAGTACTTATATTATTTATTGTAATTATTTTATACCATGCATGTTTTAAAAAGGAAATAGAAAACTCTACCTTGCAAGCTCAGTGCTCGAGATAATGTCAGTTCCTGTGGAAGAGATCTTTAGTTTGAATCCTGGTATTTTAACATGTATCCTTCAAATGGTTCACAGTATTGTAAGGTCAAAAATTAAGGGTAAACTATATTCCTTAAAATCTTTTTTAAAAACTTGTTTTCTTTCTATCAACATGTATGTTTGCATTTTTTTCTCTTGTAGTACCTGTTTGAAAATGGTAGAATAGATAACATTTTTACTGAGCCCTATTCCAGATTTATGATTGAACTTACCAAACTCTTGAAAATATGGGAACCTACAATACTTCCTAATGGTAGGATGATTATTTTTTATTTTGATTCTTCTCATGATGTACCTTCTTAAATTGCTTAAGTTTTATGATTATCTTTTAATAAATTGTTCATTTTATACTTCTGTCCTGATTTATAACATGTTTGGACTTTTGAGGAGAAAGTCTTTGGTTTATTAGTGATTATTTTAGTAAAACTATAATTTCCATACAGTGCATGTACAGATACTAACTATTAAAAATAAAAAACAACTAGAAGTTGCATTTACTTTCTAGAAACTGGTATTGATCTGATAGTGTTGGTAAATTTGCATACTGTACCAGTAGCTGCCACATATTCTTCTAGACTCTACGTCTTAGCAGTGGACCTTTTCCAATAGTTTATAGCATTAGTTGTTAAGAGAGTTGAGTCTTCATTCTCAAATTGTCTCTGATCATATGTTGTTGGGCAAGTGTCTGATTCACTCTTGGTCTCAGGCTCCTCGGCTGTGAATGAAGAGTTGAATGTGATGCTCAGGGATTTGTGCCCCTTTCTGTTGGATTACAGATCACCTTTGAAGCATCTGAGCAATGTGGTGGCTTGAGGCATTTAGCATTCAAAGATGGGGGTGGGAACATAAATGTAGAAGTAATAAATTCATATTTGTAGATAGTCTCCCCAGAATAGGACGCAGAAGCAGCACCGAAAAGGATTGGGGAGGGAACATTAGAAAACACCTGCATGTAAGTGGTCTCATGAGGAAGGTGCATTTAAAGGTGTACTTACTTTAATTCTTGGGCAGAACCTCTGCTTTTCAAGAAAAATCTCAGCTAAGTTATCATGAGTAACTCAATATAAATTTAAAATAATAGGGGGTGGAGGGAGAAAAGGCTATCTGTCTTTTAATGATGTTAGCTAAATAAAGATCAAACCGGTTAACAGTAAGTGTAATAATCTCAAACAGGAGTCTGCAGACTGTGGCCTGTGGGCCGCATTTGGTCTGCTGCCTATTTCTGTATAGTCTGTAAGTTAAAAGTGGTTTTTACATTTTTAAATGGCTGGGAAAAAATCTAAAGAATGTTTTGTGGCATGTGAAAATTGTATGAAATTCAAATTTGTGTCTATAAATTAATTTTATTGGTATATAGCCACAGCTACTTGTTTCGGTATTATCTACAGCTCCTTATCTTCCACAACAACAAAGTTGTTCAGCGCCTCTGTGGCCCACAATGCTTAAAATATTTACCATCCGGCCCCTTGCAGACAAAGTTTGCCAACCCCTGGTCTGAAATAACCATAGATTAAAAGTGTTTCAGGGGAATGCTCACAATGTTTCTTCAGCAGAATCATCTGCCCTTTTTTCTGTGGTGCCTTTTCTGTTTTTCTGTGTAAAGAAGAGGAGGAAAGAGGGGTTTCCCTTCGTTGTCTTCCTGTCTGAGAATTTAGAAGTTGCTTAGTCCTCCTGAGCAGGAGCTTAGTACTGCTTCTTGTTCCCCTTCTTCTGTCCAGGTTACATGTTCTCTCGCATTGAAGAAGAGCATTTGTGGGAATGCAAACAGCTGGGCGCGTACTCACCAATTGTCCTCTTGAACACCCTTCTTTTCTTCAATACCAAATACTTTCAACTAAAGAATGTTACTGAGCACTTGAAGCTTTCCTTTGCCCACGTGATGAGACGGACCAGGACTCTGAAGTACAGTACCAAGATGACGTATCTGAGGTTCTTTCCACCTTTACAAAAGCAGGAGTCCGAACCAGGTGTGTGGTGGCGTTTGTAAGATTTCTATTCAAATAGAGACTTATGGCAGAGGAGTAATTGTAAATTCTAGACATGGGTAAATGTAGCTTTGGTATAACATTTAAATCCTTTTCTTTATTTTCAAGGCTAGGTTAAAGGCTTGCCTCAACCTGAGAAGAATCACTTGCTTTAGTATACTTTTGTTGGCTTCTAAATTAGAAATTCTTATTTAATTGATCTAGGGTACAGCCCCAATAATCTGCATTTTAAAACTTCCCAGGGAATTTAAATACGCAGCCAAAGTTGAGAATCACTGATTTAGAGGCCACAGATGAGTCGATTGCCGGTTAAAAGGAACCTGCTTAACTTTTCAACCGCTGTTTCTAAATCTTGGTTTGACCAGAGCGCACCCTCTTTTAGTTAACATTGTCAAATTCTGAAGGAACTTAAAAGCTGGCCTAGAGTATACTGCTTTTGTACAGCAGTGACAGTTTTATTAGAAGGTTTATAGTCTTGCACTCCAAAAACAGCCTATTATATAATAGTTTGTTTTTAATGTTAAAAAATTAATATTTCTATTATGGAACTAGAAATTAGATTTATTAATTTTGACCAAAATTGTAAGTTCTAAAACTCCCAAAATTAAGTTGTACTTCCTTGGGATAAGAGTGAAATATATATTTTGAATGTGGGAATTTAAAATTACTGAAACTAAAAATCTGTAAAGAATAATTGTAGGGGCTGGCCCAGTTGCATAGTGGTTATGTTCATGCATTCCACTTTGGCAGCCCAGAGTTCACAGATTTAGGTCCTGGGCATGGACCTGCACTGCACACTGCTCCTCAAGCCATGCTGTGGTGGCATCCCACATACAAAATAGAGGACGATTGGCACAGAGATCAGCTCAGCAACATTCTTCCTCAAGCAAAAAGAGGAAGATTGGCAACTGATGTTAGCTCAGGGCCAGTCTTCCTCACCCCCCCCCCCCCAAAAAATTGTGATGTTCATCTTTGTGTTAACTTTATCTCAGTTGCTCCTTTACTTTAGAAAATACTAGGATTAGCTTGCTTTTCCACCACACGTCTATGTCCTTGTTCCTTCATTTTGTTCATATATAGCCCACTTAGTGCTCTTAATTGATACTAATTGGGGGAGGGGGAGGCAATCAGGTAACATTTCTGTGTTTTCTGATTAGGTACTTGACAAAATTGGTAGTTCAGTTCAGCTTGTTTTCTGAATAAGTAACTAGCAAAGTCTTTCTCTTTAAGTAGCCTCTAAATAGAGAACTGGGATGAATTTTGTTTAGTAACTAATGCAGGAAGCTCAGGAAAGTTCTCTGCCACTTGTTAAGAGGAGCTATAAGAAGAGAAGAAAAGGGCCTGGCCTGGTGGCATAGCGGTTAAGTTCACGTGCTCTGCTTTGGTGGCCCAGGGTTCTCCGATTCGGATCCCAGACCTACACACCGCTTATCAAGCCATGCTGTGGCAGATGTCCCACATATAAAAAATAGGGAAAGATGGGCACAGGTGTTAGCTCAGGGCCGATCTTCTCAGCAAAGAGAGGAGGATTGGCAATGAATGTTAGCTCAGGGCTAATCTTCCTCAAAAGAAAAAAGAAGGAGGAAAAGAAAACCTTTTTCTTCAGGTTCTCAGATCCATCTCCTGTTGTCTTAAAGGTTGAATGGAGAAAGAGGGAAAGAAACAGCCCACTTTCCCTGTCTGCACACTGGCTTCTTTCTAATAATCCTTGGCCTCTACAAAATTCTGTTGGTGAAAAAGGGTTTGCTCTTTTCTTATCAAATGGTCAGCTTTACTGAGAATTTCTTTTCCCAACAAAGACTCTATTTCTCATAATTCTATGACAAATAAAAGAAACTTGAACAAATGCCCCACAGTAGACATATTTTCACCTAGAGGTGCCAGCTTCTGTGTCAGTCTCTACTGTAGGAGAGGAGCACGTGGAACCCCCTTCTCCTGCTTTGTCCCTCTGTGGCTTCAGAGCCCCATGCCTAGTAAAATTCTTAATGCCCCCTCTCCAGCACGGTGTGTTTTGCCTGCTGCCTCCACTGTGGTGAGCAGGGGACATTACATTTTTGTTCACTGTTATTAACCCAGCACTTAAAATAATATCCAGCACTGCCACAGGTGCTCAGTAAGTGTTTGTTGAATGAGTAAGTGAAACGAAGGGGGAGGGAGTGACAGTTCTGATTGGAAGCAAAGCTCATTGGGTGTTTTGAGACTTGAAGAAAAGACTTTTCTAATCTTTTGATTATGACTTCCTGTCTCAAGATAAACTAACTGTTGGCAAGAGGAAACGAAATGAAGATGATGAGCTTCCGGTGGGTGTGGAGATGGCAGAGAATACTGATAACCCACTAAGATGCCCCGTCCGACTTTACGAGTTTTACCTGTCAAAATGGTAAGTGATCTTCATCTGAGCTAGATAGAGCACACGGCAAAAGGATGTTAACATATTTTGGATTTCAGATGCTTGAATATCAGAAATATAGCTGACCTATGACTTGAGACAAGGATTTACCTCTAATTTCTTTTTTTCCCCATTCTCGTATCTCGTACCTGGATTTTGAACCAAGAAACAAACTGGTTTATCTTGATAATTTTCTTTTCTGAAAATCTCTTCAAAAGCAAGAATCACTGCCATTGTTTGGTCTTTACAACCCTGTGACTCAGCGTTTATGTGATATCTAAACTGCTGTGATTTTATTATTTATATAGGGAAGAAATTTAGAGAACAGGTCATAGTGCTAAACCTATAAATAGAAATATGTATTTTTAAGAAATTGAAGTTTTGTAGTAGTTTTTTTCTTACAGAAGCTTTTTGACTGTAGAGTTGTAAGATCCACACTAAAGCACTTTTTCTCAAGGAAATACAGTGACTGCGTTTGCCGTTTGATATTGTGATTGTAGTGCTCCTGGGGTTCGTGCCAGGACACTGGGCCCTGAGGATACATGGTTCTCAGCTATAGTGTCACATGTGCATTGAATTTTTTGGTTGCTCCTAGTAGCCTTTTGTTTTGTTTTGTTTTTTGAGGAGGATTATCCCTGAGCTAAGATCTGCCGCCAATCTTCTTTTTGCCAAGGAAGACTGGCCCTGAGCTAACATCTGTGCCCATCTTCCTCTACTTTACATATGGGACGCCTGCCACAGCATGGCTTGCCAAGCGGTGCTAGGTCCGTGCCCAGGAGCTGAACCGGCGAACCCCGGGCTGCCAAAGCAGAACGTGCGAACTTAACTGCTGCACCACCAGAGTGGCCCCTAGTAGCCTTTTAAGCACGAAAATTTGGGAAGGGTTTGCACTTTGTCTTCTAACAACATTATACTCACTTCCAATCTAGTGTGATTTCTTGAGTGTGGGAATAAAGATACAGAGTTAAAGGTCGGTCCTGGGGGAAAATGCCTATAAACTTACTTACCTCTGGGTGTATTGCTTGTCTGTGGTACTAGTCACAGTAGGGAAAAGTTGAGAGCCATTATATTAAAGAGTAGTTATATATTTCCTCTACTCTCTGATCCCCAGTTTTCGTTTTCTTTTTCTTTTTTTCCTATGGATAGTTCTGAAAGTGTGAAGCAGAGGAATGACGTGTTTTATCTTCAACCTGAGCGCGCCTGTGTTCCGAATAGCCCTATGTGGTACTCCACATTCGCAATAGACCCTGGGACCCTGGACACCATGTTAACACGTATTCTCATGGTGAGGGAAGTACATGAAGAACTTGCCAAAGCCAAATCAGAAGACTCTGATGTTGAATTATCAGATTAAAGCTGAAGTGAGGTTCCTATTTTCATACGCATTGGTATGCACCAAACTGTGAATGCATCCAGCTTTGGAAAACGATGTATAGTCCAAGTCCTCTTGACTTGATTATAAGATAATGGGAAACAGACGACTCGTGAACCACAGTGTGGATGTACAAATGAAAACTGAAGGAAGAATATGGACTGAGAAATGTTGTTCTTTGGCAGTGATATAGTTCTTAGACATCTTCAGAATGACTAACCAATTTCTCTGAGTGGTGCATAATCTTATTTTGTTTGGGAATAACAAATTGTGGAATATTTTTAAGGAAACTGTTGTATAAAACTCTGCCATAGTAACCTTAGACCTTAGAGAGGTAGCTTTGGAGTGAGCCTTGGCTGCAGTAGGCTGCTCGGGTAAGCCCTATGTAAGAGTCAGGGGAGACATCAGGACAGAGCCGAGAGTGACATCACAAGAGGGCTGCGGGACCCAGACTTGAAGACCCAATAAAAATACTCAACTTTTTTTTAAAAGGTAGAGAGTGAAGTGGTCTTGATTTTGATTTTCACTGCCAAGCCAATTCTGTGAAGGATAGAAGCCTCTGGTGCTTTTGCCCTGGGCCCCTCACATCAAGGAAAAAGGCCTTCACTGCTGTGCACACAGCCGTGTGTCCCTTTCACTTTCTGGGTCTAGTCTTCTCAGCTGCGCGTCTGGATGTGGGTAAATTAAGGTAAACGGGCTGAAACTCTGCAAACTGATTATGCACACAGAAAATCTATGGAGCCCAGTAGACGCCCCCTCCAAGTGTCTTGAAATGTTTGTAGAAAACCCACTAAAATGCCCACTTCTCTGGGTGTCAGCCTTTATTGCTGCTGTTTCATAGCATGAGCTGTGGTACACAGAAATGGGGGTTCTCCTTTTGTTTTTGTTTTATCCCCAAATGGCAGCTTTTCTCCCATTGTTTTATCTTCCTAAGTAATTCCTCTTATTTTATCTTTTACACCAGTTTCTGGAGGCCCTTGTCATTTCAGAAGGAATGGTCTCTCTCCTTACTCTGGCAAACCTGTGGGTGATTCCACAAAGACACAGTATTACTTAGCTATCAGAATTATGGTAGAAAAGGTTCTAGTATGTTCCTATATAAAGCATTTGAAGATGACCTTGTTGCCCTAAGAAACTTGAAAATAGGGGTTCTGGGGTTAGGATACAGAGACATTGAGTGTCCTGCATATCCACAAGCAGGTCTTCTCATAGCATTGTTCCAGAGTCTAGCTGTTTCAGTACTCCTACGAGGATTGCAAGTCATAGGTGTGTTTGGCATATCAGTCCGTCTCCCTCATCTCCATTCTCAGTTTCTTCCCCACAGAATTTTGAATCAAAGCTTTTGTGATGTTGGCCAATCACAGAGCTTCTTTAGCCTGAGGTTAATTTGACCGTGTAATAGAAATGAGAAAAGTCCAAAAAGCCGCTTAGAAATTTTAACCTTGAAAGACTTTTCAATATGTCCCATTTTTTAGATGGGAGTGGCAGGGTTTTTTGTTTTTTTTTTTTTTAAATAAAAAGAACGTCATTTAACTACAGTAAAAATTTAAAAGTAGGCCTTTTGACATTGTGTACTTGATGGTTCTGTCCCTCTGCCTGTAACAAATTTCATTTTTGTTCCCAAAAACTGTGTGAAAGAAGTAAATCTGCCCCAATTCTGTATGATTAATTCCATCTGTGTTTGTCATTTCTGACTGGAAAACAACTTCCTTCCAGACCTTGTCTGGTGTGGGGGAGAAACCATTGGATTGTCTGATAAGTCTGCCAATAAACTGTCCAGAAACATCAGGGGTAATAGTCCCCACTATACGAATTCTATGGTTTGTATAAACACTAACATTTCCCCTTCCGTAGCTGTATGGAAAACAAATATTGTTGGCATAGTAGGTAAATTGTTTTGAAACACCAGAGAGGAAAAAATCTGTATCTTTTAACTGAGAACAGCCAATACCCAGGAAAATGACTGTATCAGGGTTTCAACTGCATGTCAGTCCACAGAGCTGTCCAGACCCTAAATTAACTTGTAAAAGAAAATATGGATTAATTATTGGTCATTCCTCATAAGTGTAGCTGTTGATATGTGTGTCAGATTATTTGCTTTTTTTATTTTATTAAAATTACGTAAAATTATTTTTTTTTCCCCAGGGGAGGAAAACAACATCAAACAAGAGAAACATCTAAATTACCCTTTCTGTTGTTCTTTGTTTGTTAACCACTTTTGGGTTTTCCCCTTGCAGAAACCACAGAAATATTCCCTTAGAATAAAATAGTATATTTGTATTTGATGGGTGATTTATTCCTTTTCTTTATGTCTTGAAAGAGTTTTAAGTATTTTTTCTGTTTGGCCCTATTGGTATTACCCAACAGATGGTATATTACAAAGAGAGGAGTTTTCAGAAAATAAATTATTTGATTTTTACTCAGTCCAGTAAACATACTATTTCATTGAAAAGTCTTTTCAGTTTTCTTTTTTCCATCAAAAGACTTATTCCAGTTTTTAGTTAACTTATTAAGTATATTCAAAGCCCTGAAAGCTAGAAATATCAGGTATCAGGTGTATATTTTGTTTCAGGCAAACTTTTTTGAGATTTTCAAAGCTGGAATTGGTTCAGCTTGAATGATTTTGAAATTGTGACATTAGAATTAAGAATATATCCATTCTTAAGTATAAATACATATTTAATTTGGGAATGTGAGACTAAATGGCATTTTCCTTAGACTCTAGAGCTATGTGGTATTGTGCAAATATACCTTCAAATTCCGTGTAGACTGTTTCTGTTGCCCGCCCTGTGGCTTCCCTAATTTTGTAAAACAGTAGTTTTCTAAAACATCTAAAGTAAAATGAGTTCCTGTAAATGAATCTTAGTTTTCCAAGCAAATTAAAATCTTTAATTTTCCCTGCGGATAAAAAGGTTTCCTATGATATCGAGTTAAAAGTTTAGAAAAAAATTAAGCAATAATACCGCCAGTTCCTCTTGTCTATCATCATCATACTTGATCATCATCATTTTAAAAGCAATAATTGTGAGGCGTTATTACGGAGTAGGAAGTGCCGAAGCTTTTGGAGCCTAGTCTTCCACTTACTGGCTGTATTGTTTTAGGTAAATCACTTAACCTGTCTGTGCCTCAGTTTCTCATAAAGTGAGGATAATAATAACTCTTTTACAACATGTGCCTGGCACACGGCAGGCTTTCAAATGTCAAGTATTTTTTATTATACACAAATTGCTAGGCATGTAGTAAGATTTTAAGTAAATGTTAATTCCCCTGGTACAGTCTAAATTTTCACTAAGTTCAGTGCTTCAGATTCTGCAAAATATAATACCCTACATGATCAGTTCTATACATTTGAATCACATATTTGGAATAACTAAATACTATATATAATAAATCATACATTCTTCACTCATGCTTATGTGTGTATGAAGAGTAATCAACGTCAGAAATCCATCGATGTACATCACTACATTGAAGAAGGGAAGAAGTGCATGGTATGTCAATAGATACAAGAGCATGGGATATAGTTTATCTTTCTTTTTTTAATTGGAGAAACTCTGTGGAATTTCTTTTACTCGGTAATGGTTATGTACCATCACTCAGGAACAAGACAACTGTATAACAACATACAAACAATATACATCTCCCCACTTTTTCCGTCATTAACAGGAATCCCTGACCCCATGTTTCAGCTGGGCAGTAGCTTCCTTGGGAAGAGATTGTATTTTCCAGGCTACCTTGCAACTAGGTGTAACTAAGTTTGACCAATGAGGTGGGAGCAGAAGTAAGTTTATAACTGCCAGGCCGCATCCTTAAAAGGAAAGGGCTTGCCTGCCTTTTCTAATTTCCCCTTTCCCATGAATTAATGGGATGAATGTGAATGTGGTCATGGCAAACTAGTTTTGTCTCTGTGGGAAAGGGCAGCATATCAAAGGACATTAACCACGTAAGGCAGAGCCACTTATCTCCTGAACTGCCTGCTAGCTGAGACGGTCACACAGGAAAGAAAGAAACCTTCCATCTTACTTAAACCGTTGTTATTTGGTCTCCATTAAAGTAGCCAAACCAATATCCTAATTAAGAGACCTACTATGCCCGGTATTGTGCTACTATTTAACATAGGACCAGAAGCTCTGATCCAGACTGTAACGAAGGAAAAAGAGAGAAAGAGATTATCAGGATTGAAAAGTGAGAAATAAAACTCATTATTTTAAAGTCATTATTTTCAGATTCAGGAATATCTACATTAAAAAAACAAGAGAAACAACAAACTATTAAAAATAAGTTTAAGTAAGGATGCCAGCTACAAACTATGTTTATAAAAATGTCAAGCATTTTTCTACAAGAGCAATAGTCAATTAGATAATGTAATTAAAAGCAAAAGATAGTAGCAACAAAAGCTGTATTTAATAAGAATGCACAAGACCCATATGTTCGTTCTAGTAGATGGTGTTGGAAAACTGGCTGTATACCTGGAGAAAAATTAAACAGGATACCTAACTAGCATCATGTCCAAAGGTGGGCTCTCGATGGATTAAAGGTCTAAATATGAAAGGTAAATTTAAAAATTAGTAGAACTATAAGAGAATGTTGTGATCAGGGGAGGGAAAAAGCTTCTTAAATAAAATCCCCCAAACACAAAACATGGAGAAAAAATTTTTGTATCAGAATTTAAGACGTTTGTCAGTAAAGTTTGACAAACAAATGACAGGCTTGGAGAAGATACTTGAAATGTGTAAAACCACTAAAGGATTTATATCTAGAATATACAAAAAAATGCTGAATTGTAAAGAAAATTCAACAAAGGATAATGAATAGATAGTTCATAGAAGAGAAACCCAAAAGAGTAACAGGTATATGAAGAGATGTTCAAACTCATTAGTGATCATGGGTTTTTTTTTTTAAAAGAGCTATCACTTTACATCCTTAAGACTGTACAAAATTAGAAAAATGGACAATGCCAAGTGTTAGTGGTGATGTAGGGGTATAAACTATAAACCCTTAGATTTTGCAAGAATAAATGTAGAACTGTATGTACAATCTGGAGGGCAATCTTAAACATCAAGTTAAAGAAGTTTGATGGTTTTTACTAAGAAATTTCCCTCCTTTTCATTAAATAAAAGATTAATATTATCAAATGCTTTTTTTCAGTGTCTATATAATCATATAATTTTTATTCACTTAATGAAATGCATTGATGGATTTTTCTGATGTTGAACCATCTTTGCATTCCTTGGAAAAAAACCCTAATTGATCATGATATATTTGTTTATATATACTATTGGATTAGATATATAACATTTATGAAGTTAAGGACATTTCCTTCTATTCCTAGTTTGCCATGAGTTTTTCTTTGAATTATAAA